TTGCTGGATTGTGGGCACAACAAAGCTAATTATGCCAACAGCTCAAACAATGCCCAATTAGTGGTTTCTGTTTTTGTTTTTGGCTATGGAAGGATGCTGGCTTTCATAATGCATGATAATAGTTAGCTGCAATGAAGCAAGAGAAAAGAGAGAATGCCAAGACTTCAGAACTACATCCACTCTCACTTTTTGATTGTATCAGTGTGAGAGAATCCAACTTGTGTGACAAAATAGCTATTTGATCTGCCATATAAACCTAGAGGATACGTACCTAAGCCATTTTTGGTCAAATAAAATAACTGTCGGCCCGTACAGGAAGTAATTGTTTCTACATCTTTATTCTTCAATTGTTCCATTCCACTTAAAAGATGAACTGTGGCTGTGGGAGAAAAGTATGCATGAAAGCCCAGGAATATTGAAGAAAACAATAATCATTTTGTCCAGGTACAGTGAAGATATTTATTAATCATTTTGTTCCAGGTACAGTGAAGATATTTAATTTTTATGTTTATTTACCCAGTTCACACTTCACAAGCCTACATGAAACAAAGTGATACTTTTTAGAATTTTGTGACAATCTGTGAGTCAGAAATGTGTACAAAAATATGCACCTTAAAACAAACAATGCATAATATTATACTGAGGGAAAATTTCAAAAAGTGCATATTCTAAAAGTGCATATAACACAAAGCAGAAAAGTTGTTCTATGTAATTATATACCAAATTTATATGTAAAACTTCCATTTACCTCAACATAAAAACTTTATAAAGTAATGCAGAACAATTGGGAAAATGAAATGAACAGGATGAACATTGACAAATTTAACCACCATTTAATTATTCTCTATCAGTGATTAATTCTGTCCTGACGCCGCTCCATTAGTGCCAATAGAGGAACAAACATTACATTCAAATAACTAAAGTTGTAGTAAAACAATTTAAGAAAAGCAAAATAGAAATAAAGGCTTGGTTAGTTTGATAGAATAATAAAAAGTTCTGTTTGCTGCAAGATGATATCACAATATATAACGAGGCAAGGGGCTTAGATAAAATATGTACAATGTAAGATTAATCAGGTATATTTCACCCAGGAAGAGTTTAGGAAAGAAAATAATTATAATGATTTTAAAATTTTAGGAGACTGCAGTGTAAGTGATAAAACAGATTAGTTCTCTATTGCTTTAGAGAGCAAAACTCAAAATAATGGCTTCAAACTAAAAGAAAGAACATGACAATGAAATGTTGGGGGAATTACTGCATGGAAAATTAGTTTTGACAGTCAGACAGAGTAAGAAGAGCCTCAGAAGGCATCACATTGCAATTTATTATAAACACTGTAACAGTCTGTTATCTGTGGTAGTAACAAGTTGTACTGGATGAAATCTAGAGATCCTGACAATTACACCAATCTAAATTAAGAATTCAGATGATAGTTTTAGAGCTTCTGATCCAAAAACCCACATGAGTACAGGCTCATGACTTGTTATTTATCTTAGGGAAATGTTGGTTTTGTGATTCAGTGTATGTGGCCTATGCTGTTTAAAAGATGGTGATTTCCCATTTTGCATCATCACAGTCTTATAGCAATAGCAATACCACTTAGCCTTATGTACTGCTTCATAGTGCTTTACAGCCAGAGGTGGTATTCAGCAGGTCCTGACCAGTTCTGGAGAACCAGTAGTGGAAATTTTGAGTAGTTTGGAGAACCGGCAAATACCACCTCTGAGTGGAGATTTTACAGTATCCTTCCTCTGCCACACCCACCAAGCCATGCCCAGTAAAAAAATTTGAATCCCACCACTGTTTACAGCCCTCTCTAAGTGGTTTACAGAGTCAGCATATTGCCCCCAACAATCTGGCTCCTCATTTTACCAACCATGGAAGGCTGAGTCAAACCTTGAGCCGGTCAGAATCAAACTCCTGGCAGTAGGCAGAGTTAGCCTGCAATACTGCATTCTAACCACTGAGCCACCATGGCTCATATGACTGGAGCAATTCCGGTATATACACCTCATATAGATAATTTAGCTCATAAAATTTGCACTTCCATTTGATTACTCTTGAATTCTATATCCACTGATGATTCAATACAATCTTACATATTATCTCCTATGTGCTAATTATATATAAATACACACACACACACATACACACACATGTTTATATGATATATATATCTGGTTAAGGGCTCCCAATTAATGAAGAAAAGCTAACACAAGTATGCAGCAGTGACGATACATTGAAAACAGAGAATTTGAATCCTAAAGTACTCATTCTTCGGGGAGATATAAATGCTATAACACATATCTTAAAGCTGACTTCTTAGCCCTAAATATGTTAATATAATCTATCTGGCAATACAGTAAATTGCCTTCTTGGCCTTTTTACCAGTCAACACCCTGAACTATAAGTAGTTTTGATTCATAATTGAAAAGCCTGTATAGTATAACTGTGACTCTTTAACATTGATTGAAAATAAATGAATACCATACTCCAAAGACACTTATAAATAATTTTAAGAGGTAACAGATTAATGTCTTGTGGGCATCTTTCATGTTATAGAGCAACTTGAGAAAATTGATTAATTTAATATAGTAAGAGTTCATAAAATGGTATGTGAGTTATTAGGTATATACTATAAAAAGATTAAGATACTTAATGCAACAAGTATAAGAGATAATCTGTAAACTTAGAAATTTCAGAAGTGTTTCTGTAGCCTATGTATGTTATTGTAACAATTTGCAGTTATTATTTAGATGTAATAGTCTGTTAAAACTGAGGAAGTGAAGACTTGCATTTAAATTCATAGAAAGGTTTGTAATATTTGATTGGCCTTCACTACAATTCTACAGAAATATGTCTTAATCAGACAAGAGTTATTGTAGTCCATTATTCTTAGCCAGGATTCATTCCCAACTTTGTAATTCAAGATATTTTTAGCTGGGAGCCATGTCTGTACCTGTGGGAAGCATTTGTTGCTTCATGCAAATTATCTGTTTATGAAGATTACATATCTGCAAGATATATTGAACCATTAAAGCAATAGGCAAAGTGATCCATATGTTCTTAAACAGCTCTGATTTCAGACAGTCTTCAGAAAACCTCTAGCAACTGATAAGTACTGCACAATTAGAGTGACAATGGAGTCATGCATGCTATTTTTTTGCTTTTATTTTGTTTTATATTTTTGTCTAATAAAGAAAAGTTATTCATTTCTATATTTTCTATTTATTTCCTTGCTTCTTTGACTGGAAATTATCAACTTCACTGTTGAACAGGATAGAACTGGCCCAAACAGACACTGTTGCAAACCAGGGGTCCTTGGACTCCTGTTCCAGGTGGCAGTCATGGTTAGCAATGCCTTTCAGTTGTGCACCTATTGCACCTATTCATGGACCAGGAGACTACTTTCCAGCATTCATGTCCCGGTCACATCTTGGATGGATTATTTTATGTGTTGTACAGGAGCTGTCTTTGAAAAACACCTGGAAACTAAAGCTGGTGCAAAAAGTAGTGCAGGAGTAATGTGCATATCAAAATTAGTAGGTTAAACCTTTGCTCTGTTATCAGTTACTTTCCAGGCTCAATTTGAAGGGCTGGTTATGACTTATAAAGATCTACATGACATGGAGATGGATTATTTGAAGGACCATCTCTCTCCAGTTATATTTATCTATTCCATTAGACCTGGCAATGGGTTATGTTATGGGTCACATTCACCAAGATTTTCATCTGACAGGGGCCAGGACCTATGATGGCACCCATCTTCTAGAACAGCGGTCGCCAACCGGTAGGCCACAGCTCACTGGTGGGCCGTGGAAAAATTTTGGTGGCCCAGAGAAGAAATGGCCCCCCAAAGCAATTAATCTGGGCCGCGCAGTTCTTGTGCCACCTGGCTCTCCGAGGCACCCAGAGTCAGGCCCCTGAGATGCATGCGCCAACCAGCTCCTACACCCGCCGGCGGCAGCAACAGCAGTCCCCAACCCCAGCGCCCACTGTCAGCTCTTCCCCATTAGTTCTCTAGCTTTGAATTGCTCCCAGCTCTCTCTCTTTCCTCCTTCCCCCGCCCACATGCAGGCAGGAAAGGAAAGGGAGATGGAGCTGTGCACAGCTCTCCCCTTTTCCAGCCCTTGCTGCCTCTCCCAACATCGAAGCCTCGGAAATGCAGGCAAAGCCACCACAGTGGTAGCGTCCTGAGTTGCCTTAGCATGCTCGGTTAGTTAAGAATCACCCTACCTAGAGAAGGAAGTGGTGCTGGAGGAGGAGGAGGCAGGATTGGAGAAGCAAGCAACTCAGGGCGCTAACGCTGTGGTGGCTTTGCCTGCATTTCCGAGGCTTTGATGTTGGGAGAGGCAGCAAGGGCTGGAAAGGGAGAGAGCTGTGCATGGCTCCATCTCCCTTTCCTTTCCCGCCTGCACTTGGGTGAGGGGCAGGAAAGAGAGAGAGAGAGACGGGAGCAATTCAAGGCTAGAAAACTAATGGGGAGATATATAATTTATATTTAATATAAAAATTATATTAAATATATTAGCTTTTTAAAAAAATCGTATTAGTGGTCCTCGGGCTTTAAAAGTATGAGTTGGTCCCTGAGATCCAAAAGATTGGCAACCTCTGTTCTAGAATATTATCTTCCCTGAAGTTATATTGGGCCCAATCCTGCTGGCCTTTAGGAAATTCCTAAAGATATCGCTGTGCCATCAGGATTGGGATCCCTTAGAGGTTGTGGAACTACAAGGTAGCTGTATTGTTTGTGAATTGTTAGTTGGCACTCTCCTATTTTTTTATGTCTTTGGTTAATCACTTTTCATCATTTAACTTTATATGACTAATATTTTGCTGTAAGATGCCTACAATCACATATGTGAGAGAGGAGGAGGAGGAGGAGGAGGAGGAGGAGGAGGAGGAGGAGGAGGAGGAGGAGGAGGAGGAGGAGGAAAAAAGTGTAGTGTTCACATTATGCAATATTTACCAGATATTTGATGCTGACTTTTAATTTACAGATGGCTATCCACAAGAAGAAATGGTTTACAGATGGAGAAAAAACTCAGTAGAAGCTGCAGATCAGAAATCTTGGAGACTTTATCAGTTTGACTTCTTGGGACTCAGAAATACTTCTGATGTTGTGCAAACATCAGCAGGTAATAAATAAGAATTTCCTGTCCTGGAGTGATAGTTGTATATCCTAATATTCTTGGTTTCATAAACATAAAATTATCATTCAGTACTCAAATGAATCCACTGCTTGAAATGCCAATTCAAGAAAACATCTCTCCTGTCCATGCACATCTATCTGGAGACTATGAGGGAAAACCCTTGAAAGATCCCAAGCTGAAACTTCTGAAAAATCTATGCTTCACTACTTCAAGTGCCAGGTTCAGAAGAATGCTTGATTTCTTCACAGATGTTTTTTGTCAGCTCTAGTGTGAACCAGTTAATAGAGATATCTTTTTTTCTTTCCTTCATAATAATGCATTTAGAATGCAGGTGTCATCTAAATAAATAAAAAGTAGATGAATTTCTCCAAATTATGATTCATTATCAGTGACTCTCAACTTAGTGTTTTATAAATTAATGGACAATTGAGAAATAACTGACTTTGGTAATTAAGTGAATGTTCATTTTCAGGAGCAGTATGTTTTTGATAATCAGATATGAGTGTAACCAGTTTTAAGTGAAGTGTTCCATCATCCAGTAATATATAACTTTGGGATATTTGGTGGTCTTTGAGCTTGGTGGTCTTCTTACAGACATTTATTAATAATGGTTAATACTGATGATGTGACCTAGCTTGATAATGAAACATCAGCAAGAAGACCACCAAGCACAGAGAACACTAAGGATAATTTAAGTGAGCTACAAATATTCTTTTCTAGTCCTGACCAGCTATTAAATCAAAGGAGAGTTACAATTTTAATATATGTTCTGTTAGTATTTGAGAACATGTATGCATTAAAACCACTTACTCTGTTATTGCTGGATGTCATAATGAACAGCCCAGTTTATTGGATAGTCTGCAGTCTTTGACAGGTGCATTCTCAGGTCAGATATGGATTTCAATCTTATAAAAATCTGCCACTGTCATAGAGAAATCCAAGTCTTAAACAAGTCGATTGGATTTTTTATTTCTGTCCATCCGTCTTTCAATTTTTCTTCCATTCTTTCATTGCTTAATAAATACACCAATAAATATTAATTGTAGCTATTTTTCACATTTTGTCATTTAGTCTTGATGTTATTTTTCATTCATGTGTCATATCATTTTTAAATATAGTCAAAGGAAATTGCAGGTAGCAAGATCACTGATAGTTGATTATTGTTGAACGGCCCGGAGTGTATTGTATTAGCTGAACCAGTTAAATAAGACATTTCCCTTATTATTCAATCTTTTCTCCAGGGTTTGGTAGGATGTGTTTTTCCTCTCCTCCAAAACATTTTAAAGACCTGGAAAATTGCCAAGGTAATGAATGCTTTTCCCCCCATTGCCCTTATCGACAGACTTTAATTTAAACTTAATGGAATTCATTTTAGCTTTTGCACAAACTATTGTCCAGCGTGATAGTAAATGCAGAAGTATGCATGGGGATCTATGGATTATTAACCACTCTAGAAATTAGGATGTGTTTAATTGTGCTCAGGGAAGGAGTTTCACTCCTACTCATGGTTAAACTTTGTGAAGAGAATGCTATCCTGATACCAACATAATATTTGTATATCGTAAATAAACCCAGGTTGGGAAGGAAAAAGAAAAAAGAAAATGCCACACTTTTCTAGATTGCTCTGCAGGGATCCTTGTATAACTCATAGCTACAAAGCTTGTAACACAGACGCAGGCTCTAATGCTACACCCATATTTCTCTGCTTTGAGAACTTAAGGATAGATAGATTATATAAACCATTCTAAAAGCCATTAAGACAAGATAATGCTAAATATTGACTGGTCCAAACAAATGTATTCTTATTCCATAAACGATTTTTTTTCTTTTCTGATTGCTACATAGAGTTACAAATCTCCTTTATCTCCATGTCGATTTGAAATACCCTAAGATGTAGGAATGGTCTTAGGAATTTTTGGACTCCTAAACAAAAAGGTCACTAAGATCCCATATGGAAGACAGATCTTTATAAAGCTGTTCCTCTTTTTGAGCTCATGATATTAAGAAAGTTAATGAGGCACCTGAATGATTATCTGCTTGTGATATTGTTGTTCCTTTTACTGGAGATCTGAGTTTTCTGAAGGGAACATGTTGAGGGTTTACTTACTAGAAATAGTCTATATCTAATGTTACTATATATATCAAGCCTTGGAAGTACAGTAGTTATAATGCAGATTGCAAACTCTGCCCACAGCCTAGAGCTCTATCCTGACAGGGCTCAAAGTTGACTCAGCCTTCTATCATTTCCAGGTTAGCAAAATGAGAAACCAGATTGTTGTTAGCAATATGCTGGATCTATACCCACCCCAGAATTCTGTAAAGTACTATGGGGTGGCATATAAATCTATGTGCTATTGCTACAGTATGTATAAAACTCTCTTTGTAATGAACTTTAACCGGGTGAAATGGTGCATCATAAGGCAACAATTTTTGAATTGAGATTCCTCAAATGGGCAAACTTATAGAATGTGTTCAAGTCTGGAGCCCATGACTTTCTGACAGTATAAAATTTGGGGAAGTTGTGGATGCTTTAGTGCTACTTGGTGCTGCACTGCTGGTTATTTCTGCTTTCATTTGATCTTCATTTTCAACATCCATGACAATTTCTTAGCCTATCTTGCAATCCTTCATTCCCTCCCTCACCCAGCAGCAATCATTTTCCTACCTGCTGGGAAAGGAAGGGAAGGGAAGGACAGGACAGGACAGGACAAGGAAGAAGGAATTTTTGCATACCTTTTCTGGTGTCATGGATCTGCTCCTGGACTCCTCTCCAGATGCAAGTTCAGAGGAGGAAGGTGACTTTGAGTCTTCAGATGAAAGCGTGGAGCTGAGTATTGGTCAGGATCAATGCTCAGAGAATGCTAGCCTGATGAAGCAGCCTCAGCTGAGTTGATCAGATGAGCAACAGGCTGAGGCTGAGGCAAGTTGGCCACAAGACTCCAGGCTAGGAAGGAGAGCAGCTGCCAGCTGTTAGCAATGATGAGGTGGAGTCCACAACTCCTCCTGATCCAAGGACATGTAGAGTAGGGAGGAGATAGGTACAATGCCAGTCAGCTAGACTACTCATGAGGAGGTAACCTTGCCTCTCATGAAGGGCTGCACCACTTAATTACTTAACCCAGCCCTGAAGACTTGAGTGTTGCTGAAGCAACATGCCCAGTTTTGTACCTTGTGTTGCTCATGCCATGTATCCTGGCCTGTTTGACTCATGCACTTCCTTCCTAGACTTCTTACCTGGACTTTGTGTGTGCCCATTGGACTCGAGTACCCAGTAGCCAAGGGGTGCTTTCTGAGGACCTGTTTTGTTTTTATAACACATTAAGGTTATGAATATGCAACTGTATGAACAAGTTAATCCATACACTCATCAGCAGTTACTCCTTATATCAATCCTAAATGAAATATTATAGCTGCATAAATTATTTCAAAAAGTTACACTTCTGTTGTGAGAAAAATTGGAATAAAAATTACTAGGTGACTAACTCCTAGAACTTAAAGCCACTCTTGTGTAACTGATGGCTGTTGTACTCAAGAAGTTATTAGTTAAGCACAATCAAAACATAAATAATTCAGAAATGTAGCAGATCAATATATCATTGCAAGTTCTTTAGCCCTGACTTATCAGTAAAGTCTCATATTGTAATATGAAGAGATGAATTCTTCAAAACTGAAATTAAACACATCAAGGTATTTGCTTTCCTCCTGATATTGGAACACATTGTATTATAACAACAAAACACTGATATATAACAGTGATATGTGCTGCAAACACATCAATTATGCATCTCAATTGATAAAGTCTAGTACCTTGCTAAAATGAAATAAACATATCACAAAATCTTCTGATTATACAGTTCAGTGATCAGTTACAAATGAAGTCAATGCATGAGCAAAAGACTAGCATTTTGTGGATAGTTTCCAATTCTTAAAATAAGAATAAATTGAAAACTTTTCAAGATGCATATTTATAAGAGCCACGGTGGCACAGTGGTTAGAGTACAGTACTGCAGGCTACTTCTGCTGACTGTCGACTGCCTGCAATTTGGCAGTTTGAATCTCACCAGGCTCAAGGTTGACTCAGCCTTCCATCCTTCCAAGGTCCGTAAAATGAGGAGCCAGATAGTTTGGGGACATAGAGCCATCTTTCTAGGCATGCCAGCCATCACCTGTTGCTTTTCTGGTTTCTGGTGCTTCCCTGTGTGTGTGCATGTGCACACACTCTGGTTTTGGCACTCGATGCCGAAAAATTTCACCAACACTGTACTAGGGTTACTAGTACTAAAGTAGCATAATTATCTATTTATTTAGCACATGATACCAAAATGATAATGTAAGACTTTAAACAAATAAAGAAAATTATCTTTATTACAAGAGCTGTACTAACTTAAGAATAACATTTATTTATAGAAATGAATTCCTTGAATATTCTTGAATATTTTTTATGCATATATAATGAATATTTATTTCAGTTTTGCAAACTAATCTTTAAATAGCAGATCTAGAAGTTGTGTTGTAAATTGCAGGAACATGCACAAACATATTTTAGTTAAGTTAGCTAAGGTAGAAATGATAAAATATTTTGGGTAATACAAGCATTGAATTTGATATCTTATATTAACAGACGTTCATAATGTTAGTCTTATGATTAAGAAGGCACAAATGTATTTATGATGCAGATTAAGGTTAAGGACCTAATTGAAAATAGAAGACAACCCAAAAAGGGAAAGAAGAGGTTTGAATTCTGCATATTTTAATTCATAACTAACCTTCTAGGCAAGAATACAATTCCAGAAATGCACACTATGCATGTAGAACAAGACAGGCCTAAATCTGCAACATAAAATCAAAAATAAAATAAATAGAATAATATCATAACATAGTAAAATAGAAGGGGAGTGGAATCATAATTCATATATATCTCCTTGTTGCTCTTTGTAGATATTTCCTTCTGATCTCCTCACTCTTCCTCTTGGTTGATTCACTTT